ATATACACACACACACATACTTTCTTCATTTTCCATCCTAACAGTTGACAGTCTACAAGAAATGAAAGAGACCAGTTAGAGCTTGCTTTCCTCTTTTCAAGCTAATTATCAAGGAGGAGGGTGGTGGTTTGTTGTCTATGCCCTCATCCCTCCTATAAGTTGGGCTTTTGCAGAAATATGGATAAGGATGAGAGGAAAAAGTAAATGAACCCCTCTTTCACTACAGGGGGTAAAAGAATGTCACATGGTGAATACTCTAAAGCAGGGGTCCCCAACCTCCAGGCCATGGATCACTATCAGTCGGTGGCCTGTTACAGACCAGGCACACAGCAGGAGGGGAGCAGCAGGTGAGCCAGTGAAGCTTCATCTGTATTTGCAGCCACTCCCCAGCCCTGGCTTTACCACCTCAGTTACATCTCAGATCATCAGGCATTAGATTCTCATAGGAGCACCAGTCTCTGGTACCAAAAAGGTTGGGGGCTGCTACCCTAAAATCTATAAATATCATCAGCCTCCAACAATGTGCAGGCACTTTAATCAGTTTTAGAAATAAAATGATGATAAAAATCATATACACAAGTAGCTGAGAATGCCATGTATATTAGTTGGGGTTCTCTAGAGAAAGAGAAACAAGATTTCACATATTTTTTTATTGTAAGGGATATCATTTTAATTTGCAATTCTCTGACAAGCATTTTTCATATGCTTATTTGCCATCTGTATATCTTCGCTGATGAGATGCATGTTCAGATCTTCTGTGCATTTTTAATTGTTTGCCCCCTAATTGTGTTGTGTTCTCATTACTTTGTTTTAAGATTTCTTTGCATGTTTAAGATACATATCCTTTATTGGATTTATGTTTTGCAAATATCGTCTCCTAGTCTGTGGCTAGTCTTTTTATTTTCTTAATGGTGTTTTTAACACCAGAAATTTTTAATTTTAATGAAATCCAACTTGCCAATTTTTTCTTTCATGGATTGTGTGTTTGAAGTATTTTCAAAGTCATCACCAAACCCAAGGTCACCTAGAATTTCACCTATATTATATTCTAGGAGATTAATCACTTTGGATTTTACATTTAGATCTATGATCCATTTTAAGTTAATTTTTATGAAAGGTGGACAGTCTGCGCCTAGATTTATTTTTTGCATGTGGATGTCCAGATGTTCCAGTACCCTCTGATGAAAAAACTATCTTTTCTCCATTGATTTACCATTGCTCCTTTGTCAAAGATCACTTGGCTCTATTTGTGTGGGTCTATTTCTGAGTTTTCTCTTCTGTTCAATTGACCAATTTATCTGCTGGTTTTTGTTTGTTTGTTTGTTTGTTTGTTTTTACCATTACCAAACTGTCTTGATTATCACTCTGTAGTAGTTTTAAAGGTGGGTAGTGTCAGTCTTCTTACTTTGTTGTTTTCCTTCAATATTGTGTTGGCTGTTTTGGATCTTTTGCCTCTTCATATAAACTTTACAACCAGTTTATCAGTAGCCATACACACACATACACAAAAACTTGATTGGATTTTAATTGGGATTGCACTGCATCTACAGATCAAGTTGGGAAGAACTGGTATCTTGACAATATAGAGCTTTATTTATATTTGACCCTTGAGCAACGTGGGTTTGAAATGGATGGGTCCACTTACACATGGATTTTTTTTCAATGAATATACAGTGGGCCTCTGTATCACCAGGTTTTTTATCTGCAGATTCAACCAACTGTATATATGGAGAGTCAACTTAAGCTATATACAGATTTTTAACTATGTCGAGGGTTGGTGCTCTTAACCTTTGAATTGTTCAAGGGTCAACTGTACATGTAATAGCTCTTCATTTATTTATATCTTCTTTAGTATTTTTCATCAGAGTTTTGTAGTTTTCCTTGTATAGGTCTTCTTCACATTTTATTAAGATTTATACCAATTTTTTTTGGTCTAATGTAAATGTTATTGTCTTGTTAATTTTAGATTCCAGTTATTTCTGATATATAGGAAAAGATTTAACCTTGTGTCTTACAACTTTGCTCTAATCACTTATTTAGGAGGTTTTCTTTGTTGATTTTAAAAACACTTTTTTTTTAATGTAGATAGTCATATCATCTGCAAACAAAGACAGTTTTATTTCTTCCTTCACAGTTTATATATTTCCATGATTCACTTTCAATTATCACATAAGTAATATTTTAAAAACTGAGTTTAATCCTCTCTTGACCTCAGCATGCATTTCTCTGTCCTCCACCATTCCCTTTCTTATGCACCTAATACCAAAACTTCAAAATACATAAAGCAAAATTTGTTAGAACTGCAGAGAGAAATCCACAATTAATCTGCAATTAATAAATTTTAGTTAGAGATTTCAAACTCATCTCAATAATTGATAGAACAAGCAGACAGAAAATCAGTAAGGGCATATAAGATTTGAATGACACTTATCAACCTTACCTATTTCTAGAATTCTCCACCTATCAACAGCAGAATAGACATTCAGGTCTGCATGAGATATTTACCAAGACCATAATCTAGACCATGAAAGAAATATGAATTAACTTAAAAGGATTCAAATAAGGAATGATAGCAGCAATATGGCAGAATAGGCAGCTCCAGACCTTCCTCCCATGTGACACAAATTTAACAATACATGGACCAGGTACTTTTGTGGAAAACCCAGAAATCAGTAAACTAGGTTCTTGTGCCCAAGGTAAGTATGAAACCAACTGTATAAAAGCACAATAGGAAAACTCGTAGTACTCACCTCCAAGTAACCCACCCCCCAGCATAACGTGATTGGAAAGAAACCATCAATTTTCACCTTCTCCTTGGGGATAGAAAGAAGTGGAATATATGGCCAATATTCTGACTTTTCAGGGCATTGCCTGAGGGATTGGTTTCTATCTTGCCTGAATCTAAGC